GAAGCGCTTTTTCGTAAAACGAGGTAAATTCCTTCACACATTTACTTCGTAAACCGTAAAAGCACTTCTGAAACCATAGTTTGGTTTCTATCCAAACACCCCTTAGTATGTTTCGCCTGGCTATTTTGACTTTATATTGTGGCAGACCTCCCCCATTTTTACCCTTGATCTTCCCCTTGAAGCTCTCTCCTAAAACAAAGGACCCACGTCCCCCGCTCTCTCTTTTGCCTAATCGGTATTACTTCAAGTGCTAACTTCCCAGCAAACATAATCTTGTTGATTGTACTGGGTGGCGGTACAGGAGGAGAAGGACGCAGCGGTGGCGGTGGTAACTTTTGTGATGGAGTGGCATCGACAATCGTGGTTGTTGCAGGAGTAGTACTAGGGACGTCGTCTTCTCATGACAGTGGCGAGTCAACAGCGGCGGCTATGGTGGCTACAGCTAGTGGATCGAATTCCAGTGAGGAAGATGTGAGGGAAAGAAGGGAAGAAGGTGATTAGAGCAGTGATAGAGTGGATCGAAACTGATGCCAGATTCAAGGGATCAGATAGAATCAACAATGGCGGATATTTATTATTATCAGCGGGGCTTGTGTACCGATCAATATGTTTAAACTATTCACCAATCTGAGCATTCTGGCATTTAGAATGATTTGAGTAAATAAGTACTTACCTTTCTGGGTATTTGAATTCCTTGGGGACTCTTAAGACGATCTGCTGTAACACGTTTATGCACTTCGTTAATGGAGTTCTGGGTTCGACCCTTCTCTTTCATCTGTTGAATTGAACGCTGCGTTTTACACTCGGGCTCGGTGGTTTTGGATTGAATCAGAGCATTCAGAAGCATTTGAAGGATGTTCTTCATGGGGTTGTATCAAAAGTAAAGAAGATAAGTGAAATCTAAGGAATTTGATTATGATTAGTTTGTAGCCATCCAAAGTACTGAGGCGTATATTAGAATGAGGGAGGACTAGATGATTGTTTGAGAAAGTGTGGTTACGATAGTTGATTTGTGATTAGAGTGGAAAATCTGGTCATTTAAATTTGGCCTTCTGTTTGGACGTAGAGAAATGGGCCACCACAACTGAGGTTGAGAAGAAGACGAAGAGATTTGGTTTGAACCACGAAGGAGTCACAGGAGAAGATACAATTATGCCACATCTGCCTCCACGTCAGTGTTTGCGGTCAAAATATTCTTTTTAAACAGTCAATGTTACTCAATTAAACAGCAATAACACTTTAGGGCCCTTTTTTAATTATCATAGATATTTTTGCATCTAAAATTTTACTATGGTGTCTGATACTCTTTTTGAATATTACAATAGGCAAAATTGTTCCTTCACCCTTGAATAAAAAAAACAAACATATCTCTGCTCCGGAACGAAAGAACACTTTTCAGGTTTCAAAGCAAAAAGAAATACACTTCAATGCACAGCATGGATGTATTTGACTGTGTAGATCAATTTACATTTGAACTCTAAATACGTCCTCGTCTGTGTTTTAGGGCTTGTTCGGATCTATTACCTTCGGTCTTTAATATAAGATCCTGTTTAACTTTTATTTTGATCCTAAATATAAGATCTCAATCTACTTTGTCTCTCACATTTATTTAATTTTTTCTAAGATAATCCTTCTAATAATTATAGTTCTAGTTAATACACTTGATTAGTAAGGATATTTTTGGAAAGATAACACCTATTTAGAATAAATAACTAACTCAACTTACTTTTTTAATCTCCTCAAATTAGTCAACTGACTCTTATAATTAGAACCGGAGGTAGTACTTTTTTTCAAGCATTTATAAGCATGGATGGAATTTAGTTCCAAGATCCTCCTCCTACGTGTTTGGACAAGTTTGTGTCCACATTGTGCGAGCTTTAACAGGGATGCTTTGTCGATTTTTAGATTGTATCTTCTTGCCTTGCAATTAAAAAAAAAAAAAAGAGTGAAAGGATTTGACCTTTTTCTTATTTTAGGAACCAAAAATACTCAAGCAGAGCGGCAACAGAAGCTTAAATGAGATCAAATTTCAAAAATCAAAATTAAAATAAAATCAAATTGCAGGGATTAAAAATTGATGTTAATCCTATGTTTTAGGCAAAAGTTGTCACAATTTAATTAAAAATTATATTGAGATGGATAGTGTAACAGAAATTTTTTAGCAAAATAAGTAATATAATTGATCCAATGAGATGTTCGTTCAATAGTATATATACCATGTATTCTTCTTATCTTACTTAAAACTTATTTAACTAATCTGATTATATTTAAAAATTCTATTAAATATAATTAATATGAAATTTTTTAAAATATCTTTATTTAAAATGAATTTTTTTATTCAAAATTAAAAAAAGTTACGATGATGTGTGGAGTGACACTGTGGCAAAAGCTTAATTTATTTTCCGATATCTGTCACTGCTTGTATAATAATCTGTGACTAACATTCTAAAATTTATCATAAAATATTTTTTTAGTTTATTAATCTAATTATAATAATTTAAACTAATCTTTTAAAATTTGATAATATAATTAATAATTTATCAAACTGAAATTATTGTCAAGCAAGTTTTTGCCAGAAACACTGGGCCTGCAATGGTAACTATTTGTCCTACTCTGTTACTGGGGCCAATCTTACAGTCAACTATAGTCAATGCAAGTAGCTTGGTTCTCCTCAAACTATTTAATGGTGCAAACCAATGCCTTATTAAATTCTTCGTTTTGCAATAAGCTGATGCTGATGCCTCATTGTTTTCTGCCATAGTGGATCATTTGAGGGGAAAAAAATTATAGATTTGAAAAACAAAGTGAATTCAGGTTGAATTGGAGATACAAGCCATTGTAATAAGTATTAGTTGATTTTGTTGAAAGCTAGAAGATACATACATATGTAATATAATGTGCTTGAAGGTGGACGGATCTAATTTGATGATTGTGTGGGCAAACTATTTAAGTACTTATAATGCTTAGTGAGACATAAAGATTATAGTCATTTAACAGCAGATACATTAGTTTCTTACCAATGACCTCATGATAGTCTAATGGCACAAAAGTTTCTTGCAAAGAAAATATTGCAGTTAACCAAAAAAAAAATTGCAGTTATGTAACCATGAGCTTATTAGTGGCTGTCTCTATAATTCAACAAAAAAACAAACAAATAAACACATAAACAGAGAGAGATTAGTTTCCTGGAAAAAAAAAATAGATTCTCTCAGTTAGGTTAAGTTATTACTTATTCGATGTATCAAAGTTGACATTAGAATTTTACTACAAAAACTACCCCTAATAGTTAATCGTATAACATTTTCAAGAGAGAATTGTAACAAAGTATTAAAAGAATATAATTACTAAAAAGTCTCCATAACAATTGAGCAGCATGTAATGACAAGTCTTAGAATACATATAACAACCTCTAACATGTATTGAAACTTTATGATGGTTATATTCTTTCTAATTCTCCCTGCTTTCCATACAGTCCAAATTTTTATTTAGTATTTTTACATATTTAATATACTGATTACGTACATTTATTATATAAATTACATATTTCAATCATAATTGAGCAGCTTGTAATGATAAGTTTCAGAATAAGAAATGACAATCTCTAACATGTATTGGGACTTTATTGTAGTTATATTCCTTGTAATTCTCCTTACTTTTAGTACAACCAAAATTTTTATTTGGCATTTATACATATTTAATATACCGATTAAGTATGTCTATTCATCTATTGTATGAATCACATATTTATTTTACACATTGAATATTTATGTTATGACTTCTTAATTTTTTTTAACTTGATTGATTTGAGGTTGGGAAAAACTTCTTATGCTTCTCTTTTTAATTTTTAGACCACACTCTTATTCGCACTACTCATTTTCGTTTTTATAATGATTTAAAAGGGTAAAACTTTAAAGAACTCTTGTAACAAAACCAAATTTCTGCAGTTTCATAGCAAGTACTAGTGAGTTGCTTTTCTATAGATTTATAACACGAACTTACATATTACCACAGACAAGCTTTCTATACTAGTTTATTGTGTTGAGAAGATATTTCTTCAACTTCCTCCTAATGAATCTTCTCTGTCCTCAATATCATATGGCAAGAAATACTTACCTTTATTCATAATTTCTCTTTCTTTAATACTATTATTATCTTTAAACCAAGAAGAAGGTAAAGCTCGTTGTCTTCCACTGTTACAAAGTCGATGATTCTGGGAAGCTTCAGAGGCTGAGGAAGAAGTGCCCGAATGCTGAAAGACAACTGTTATTCCTAGTCAGATGCCAAGTCAATAATTTTTGGTCAAAGGATTGGTTAATCAGCATGTTAACAGTCAAAGATATTGGATCAAATTGCACCATAAAAATTACTTCAGAATTAAAATTGCAACTAAAAAAAATTCAATCTGGAAAAAAAAAAACTACTTTTTATTCTGCCACACTCTTTTTTTTTAAAAAATAGATCTTTGGCCGATTGAAAATTCCTCAAAACCTCAATTGATAAATATTATCAATCTAATTATTATGTATTATTTTCGGTTTTAAATATAGAGTTAGCTAAGAAGTTTATTTTAATCTTAAATATAAAATCTTAACCTGTTTTACTTTATAAATTTGTAATTTTTTCCAAACTTCAATATTCATTACACATATTAGGAGTTTTTGTCAAGCAGTTCTAACACAAATAATTAAAGTAGATATTTTAAAATAATTAACACATATTTTTATTAAATAATTAATTTTTATCTAAGTTCTCTGTAAATTAATTAGGCAGCCCAGGAATGTTTAAGAGTGGGAATTGCAGAGAGAAACGATTTTAAGGGAAAAAAATAATTATTAAAAAATTCTAATAATAATAAGCAGGAAGTTGTAATATGTTATCACGAAACTCTGTGATTGCTCAGATTTTTAGTAATTGTGCTGTGTTTAAAGAACTCTACAGTTTACAGCAATTCTTCCCCAATTACGTTGTTGACAGGAAGTACGTAGTCGTGGGGATAAATATCTGGAAGTAGGGTGGGTGCTTCCTGATGTCCGAGTTTGCGAGGATAAGGAAATGGCAGGTGCCGCTACGAAGGTTTGCGTAACCGGTGCGGGAGGCTTTCTGGCTTCTTGGCTCGTTAAGCTTCTTCTCTCCAAGCGGTATTTTGTTCATGGCACCGTCAGACAACCTGGTCTCTTTTATTTCCCTTTTCCACTTTCCTTTTCTACTCCTTCTGATATCGTTTATGCTGTTTTGGATTAGATCGATTTCAGTTTTTACACGATTGAATCTCATTGTTTGGATCGATTTCATTTATGGCGTTTTTTTTCTGTTGCATGTCTTACTGGAATGCATAAATTTATGCTATTTTGTTCAACTAATCAAAATATTAAAGTGTTTTTACCTATCCTTACATCAATTTCTTGAACTATTTATGTTTGATTAGGTAATCAGAAGTATGATCACTTACTCAAATTCGAGGGAGCTTCTGAGAACCTTAAGCTTTTCAAGGCTGAACTCTTAGATTACGGGTCTCTTTCTTCGGCGATTGCTGGTTGTAGAGCAGTTTTCCATGTTGCTAGTCCTGTGCCTTCTACGACTGTATCCAATCCTGAGGCAAGTTTTTACTCCCTGGGTTTACAATAAACTGAATTCCTACTATTCGTTTTATAGCTTGTTTAGGACACTTCTTCCTATGCAAGCTCATTTCATCAGCCGAAATTGTTGTTTTATAACACCCGTGTTTAAGATTTCATTGTTGTTTGATGGAAATTGCTTCACAGTTGCAAAGTGAAAACAGCCTCCATATTTCATTCAAGTGACGACATAATTATCTTGTATTGATTCATTATGTTGAGATGAAATTCTGACTTAGTTCAACTCCTAAAATATTGTAACTTCTGCTGTTTGCAAACTATCCCTTGATGTTTGCTAGGTGCAATAGGTTTTAGAGTTCCCCTTCTTAAACTAATGCAGCAGCAATCCATTATTTATATACTCTCTTCAATGTAGTACTTGTATGTGGAGTGAGTCCAGCTAGCAATGCCCAATGCCCACATCTTGATGGCATATCTGTTTTGTCTCTTTAGTAAACTCGTAATGAAATTTAGGCCATGTTTATTTGTAAATCAAACTACATGAAGTCTTGGATGTTAGGTATCTTTTGAGAATTTCAATATTGAGAGTAGGCCTCCTATGATAATTGGCACATGATTTTCCTTTATGTTTTCTCAATGTAGTAATCAAAGCTTTCTACAGGTGGAAATGATTGAACCTTCTGTGACGGGCACTACTAACGTCCTCAAAGCTTGTCTTGAAGCAAAAGTGGAACGGGTTGTCTTTGTATCTTCTCGAGCTGCTGTTTCCATGAACCCAAACTTGCCCAAGGATGCAGTGATTGATGAGTCCTGTTGGTCTGATAAAGAGTACTGCAGAAGAACAAAGGTTTGAAGTTGTGCGAATTCTATCGCTTATGAGCTTATGGTTTGGATCTGTCACTGGTCCTTGGTTTCAAAAGTAACATCGTCTTTAATGGGGCGTAGCATGCTATTTTACTTGAATTCAATCACTCCATAATGAAGATTATTTCCTTACTCTCGTTTCATTCATGATTCAGAACTGGTATTTCTATGCCAAGACAGAGGCAGAGTTGCAGGCCCTGGATTTCGCCAGAAGCACTGGGCTATCAGTGGTAACTATTTGTCCTACTCTGGTGTTGGGGCCAATTTTACAGTCAACTATCGTCAATGCAAGTAGCTTGGTTCTCCTCAAGCTATTTAAAGGTGCCAGTTAATGCCTTATTAAATTCTCTGTACATATTCCCCAAAAAAAAAAAAAAAAAAAAATCTGTGTTCACAGTATACTGAGTGCTGATGCCTTCTTGTTTTATACCATAGAAACAACTTTATTCCATGTCATCTTAAGACCTGCGTGGCTTTTCTTTTAACAATAGAATGAATTTAGGGCTGGCAATTTATTCGGCTACTTCTTTATTGCATGATTTGTCTAAAACTGAAGGTCTTGAATCACTGGAGAATAAACAACGGTGGATAGTAGATGTGCGTGATGTGGCTGATGCGATACTGATGGCTTATGAGAAGCCTGAGGCAGAGGGCAGATACCTATGCACTGCACATCCTATTATGACAGATGAATTGGTAGAGAAATTAAGGCGTATATACCCAAACTATAGCTACCCTAAAAAGTAAGGTTCAGTTCCGGTGGTTTATGAAAACAAAGGAAATAATACGACTATATGCTCTGGTTTCTATTTAGTATTTGACAGTTTCTGGGGCTGCTCATATGTACTTTATTTCACCTTGTTTAATTTTGCTAGTGTTTTTACTTTTGCAGCTTTGTTGAGGTAGATGACTGCATAAAGTTTAGCTCAGAGAAATTGCAGAGGTTGGGTTGGAGATACAGGCCACTGGAAGAAACACTAGTTGATTCTGTTGAGAGCTATAAGGCCACAGGGCTTCTGGAATCAAAATAACTTTGTTTCTTTCTGTCTCAATACACTGTGGAACTAACATGGATCCTTTAAGCTTTCAGAAGTACTTTTTCACAAAACGAGGCTAAAAGCACTTTTAAAACCATAGTTTAGTTTTTACATAAATACCACTTAAGTGACGAATGTGATTGTACTTAAAATAAGGTGGTTGTCTTGTTAAAGTCTAGTTTGCATGATAAGAATGGATAAAGACGTGAGTAGTGTGTTTAAGGTTTTAAATTCTCATGCTGTAGAAAAAGGGGGGAAAAACAATCCAGTTGCCCAATTTGATTGAAAGAATGCATATTTTTAATTAATTTGGAAAAAAATATTTTGATAAAATAGAACGGAACAGAACGAAAAGAAAATGTTGCATGCTACTAAATTTGTTGTGCAATAAAAAAAAAAAAAAGCTTGATAGTTTAGTTATGATTAGGTGCATGAAAATAAAAGGTAGAGGAAATGATTAAAAAATAATCAAATAATTGGTTTTAATAATTACAAACAATAAAATATATTAACATTATTTTTACAAGTAATAACTTTTTTGGGCTATATTTTTACAAGTAATAACAATGTTTAGAAATATATTATTTTGATTGTCAATCATAAAAGAATGAAATAGATAAAATAGCATACAGCACTCTAACATTATTTTTCGATCATACTAAACATTCTAATCTTATCGATGGTTCAAGATGTTGTATACATTACAAATAAAATTAGAATGTTGGAAAGACCAAAAAAAAAAACAGTAACATTAAGCTGCTAAATTTACCATTAATATGTCATAGTACTGTAATATCCGGATGCAGCTTCACCTTTTAAACTACAACAAGATGACATTTTCTTTTTGGCCAACATGAAATAATCATCAATGATATGATACTTCTCCCATCCTAAATATAGGAGATAGTTAGAGAGTTGATTTTGATCTTAAATGTAATATTTTAATCAACTTTTTTCCAGTATTTAGTTATTTTTTCAAATTAATTTATTTAATCTATAAATTAATATATAATCTAATATTATATATGGATATTTTAATAAAATCATGTCATACTTGTCAAAATTAAGCAAATTATTTATCTTATTTAAACATATTTAAATTAGCTGAATAGTTCTTACACAAACACACTATTAAAGTATAAAAAAGTACCAGGCTAAAAGGTACAAAAATATTATGCACTTTTAAATAAAACAAACAAACAAATCTCTACTCCGGAAAGAAAAAACACTTTCAGGTTTCAAAGCAAAAAGAAATACACTTCAATGCACAGCATGAATGTATATGACTGTGTTGATCAATGTACATTTGAACTCTAAATGCGTCCTTGTCTGTCTTTTAGGGCTAGTTCGGATCTGCTCTTTTTTAAGTATTTATAAACACATTCACATAAAGTGCGACAAAATTTTTCTCATATACTTATTTTTCATCTTATAAAACATAATTAAAAAATTATTTTTTGAAGGCTCCTACTGTAATTCTAAAGTACCCCTTAGCTGCCCGCAGACCGGACTAGAAGAAACACAGAGCTCAGAAATATTGGGTTCTCTATTGACAAAAAACCAGCACAAATCATTCTCACTTGTCTGGTTTCACGACAGCAACATGATGAACTCTTGAAAATGATAAAGATATTTCAATGTTGGTCCTAAAGAAAGAATTTTATTTTGCTACAAATAATATTTAGGTGAGTTGGATTTCAAAAGCTTATTGGAATTAAGATATGCTTCTAGGTTCAGAAAGTGCTTACAGGGATATTTATAAATTATCCTCTAATAAGATCCTCATATTGACAACAGGATTCAAACTTATGATCTTATAGGTTATGAGCTGACTGTTTATCATTTAGAACAACTGTTGTTGGCTAGGAAAGAAAATTATGCTTTGTCAGGCTATATAAAGTTATTGTCATTCTCCATAAATAGCCTTATAAGGTGACGGCGTTCAAAAAATGAAGTGCCATCAACCGGAGAAATACAGAATGGGGTAGATTCATCAAAAAGATTAAGAACACTTGCGGCCTTGATTATGGAAATTTTAAATTCTAATGATCTAGCAACTTTAAGATAGTGAATTCATTTTCTCCAAATTTAATCAACTTTAACATTCATTGAGAAAAACTTGGTTTTTTGTTCTTCGATGTGAAAATGAAGATAATAAGTTACATTTTTGGCGCGTTAAGAAATAAAGCCATGACTCTCCTCTGTTTTATTTCCATTTAAAGACGTCTTCACTCTTCAAAAAGCATAAATATAATTAATGCCAAATACGGATTTATTGATCAGTTTGCCATAAAAGATAAATGAAGAAGATATACACTATAGACTCCAAAGTCTCTTAAATCATGTTTGCCATCACGTTTAAAATAACTTATAAACATATTTTACGTAAATCGAAATAAACTTGTTTTCATATATTTACCTCATATTTTATAGATTATAATTAAAAAAACTACTTATAAGCCATTTAAACAGATGGTTAGGTGATAGGGACAATTATAGGCTTTTATTATTTGACTTGATATAAAGATGTATGATTAGACATGGGGGTCAAAGTGGGGATGATTTAATTTTTGTTTATTATTGAGGAATTTGAGATGGGATTCACAAATCATAAATTTATGTGTTAATTAACTACTACTCCGGTTTTTAATATAGGATCCAATTATTAAGTTAGTTTTGGTTCTAAATATAAGACACATTTATCATATTTATCAATTTTCTCTAAATTACCCTCATGGATACTCCCTCAACCATAATCAAGTAGAAAGAGAGGGGGGTATTAAGAAAGATGATTATGGTGTTTTAGAAAAAATGTGTCATATTTCTTATAATTAACTAACTTACTTAACTTCCTTAATTTAATCAAATTAGTTAAATGGGTCTTATATTAAGGACCAGAAGAGTATTATATCATGACAACACATTTTATTACCTATCTTTTGTTTTATCTTCCTCACTTGCTAGTCTTGCTAAAAACTTTTGTTCTTAGCTTCTTCTTTTTTCCCCCTGGCTACTTGGTATGTTAGTTATTAACCACTCACCTATCTTGGTTAAAAAAAAAGGCTAATGCCTCCGAGGACTAATATAAGAGCAAAATTAATTTAAGGATATTAAAAAATTAGTTAAGTTGATTATTTATAATAAATATGTGTTAACTTCTCTAAACTATTTTTTTAGTTATGTGTATTAAAATTATTCTTTGGTGGAAATCCTTTACAAGTTTACAAATATTTTAAGGAAACTGTTATAAATTTGAAAGATAAAACAGATTAAAATATTATAAATTTAATCTCCAACTAGTTTTTATATTAAGTGCTGAAGGTAGTATCTATTTATCTTACTACATTTTTCTTTAAATAAAAAATTGAATACTTTGTTGATTAAAATCTCCTCAAAACCTCTATTGACAAATATTAGCAATCTAATTATGATCTACTTTCTCATAAAGGGTTTTGACATAGGATAATTTCAACTCAAATTATTATAAATAATATTAGGGAAAATGATATTAAGGTCCCACAGAACCAAATATATAGCCAAAAAGCCCCCTAAAATCTCATAATTTCTTTGAAGTCCCAAAGGGACTTAGATGCATTTTTTAGAATCCTCAAATGACTCTCTTGCCCCTAAAGTAAAATCTGTTGGAGCCCTTCCTTATGAGATCAAACACGACTAGCTGTCTTGGAGAAGTTAGAAAATGCCACGTTGAAGGGAGAAAAGTTCTAGAGACCTAAGAGTTGTGAACGACAGAGGGAGAGGAGGCGAGTTTTGAAGGACGGAGGTAGAGATTACAAATGATGGTTTGTTTTTCCAGCCTTTTTCCCTTTCATTCTCTCCTGCCAGTTTGTTGTTTAAAGCATAATACAATTGGTCATATCAGATGTTGAAACAAGTTTTAAGGTTCATGAGGGGAATGAATAGTGCGTTTACCTTCTGCATAATCTAAAAGCTTAATTTCTTTCTATTTTTCTCCCAGATTGCATTGTTTCCCATGACTAAAAACTAATAATCAGAATTCCCTTTTTTAGAAATTCCTAAGTACATTGAGCTTGATGTAGTAAGGAAACCAACTTATGATTGCAATATGAAAAATCGAAGAAGGCATACGGTTTGTAATTTTATTGTAGTGTGGCTTTAGTTTATAATTTTGCTGTGCACAAGGCACATAAACAATACGCTTTGTACCAAAATCTTAGTTTATTGTTTTATTAGTTATTTATCTATATCTCTTCTCTCTATTTTACTATCTGAATGTGCATTTTGAATTTTCAAACCTAAAATTTTGTTCAAATTAAAATATCGCCCGGTAAAAAATTTCTATTAGGTTATTATTGATGTTGTACATTGCATTGCACAAGGGGGAAAAAATTAATTTTGGTCCTAAACCATAGATAATAATCAAGACAGAGTTGGGAGCTACTGTAGTGGGCAAGTTATCTGATGCTCTTGAACTTCCATCCTGACACCTAAGTTTTTAAAATAAAAAAGTGGAACTCTTATCTTTTTACATGCATTACGATCTTTTTTTTTTTTTTACATACATTCAAAATTATAATTAACGACCCTGGTTCTTTTGCTTTTGCCACGTTTCCTACCTTTTAAATGTTGGAGAAAAGTACAACTAATTTTTCCATTCTTTAGCATCAGCCCCTTCCATTTTCTTAATGATAAAGATGTATCCAATATTATGATCTTATTTTTTTTATGTACATTCAAAATTCTGATCTTTTATATGGTACATTCAGTACTTTGATATTATTTTTTTTAGTTACATCTAATATCCTAATTTTTAAAGAGTTGAATGCACTAAAAATAAGATTAGGGTGCTAGATGTACTTTTATTTTTTCTTTTATTCCATATCTCCTTTTAAATAAAAGTAATTTTTTTTTACAAAATCTACTCATATTGTTTTTATTTAGAATGAGATATAGAATAAAGGAAAGGATAAATATGTATCCAACATCCTAATCTTATTTTTAGTACATCCAACATGTTAAAAATTAGGGTGTTAGATGTAACTAAAAAAATAGTATCAGGATACTCGATACACCATATGAAAAAACATAATTTTAAACGTACCTAAAAAAATAGCTTTTATTCTGAAAAAAATGGAAGGGATAGTCGGCTGGACATGAAAGGATAGAAAAATTAATTGTAATTTTGTCCAAGATTCAAAAAGGTGGGAGCCGCAGCTGAAGCAAATGAAACAGGGTATTTAATTGTAATTTTC